TTGTATTGACCCAAGAGGAGGGGGTGGGGGGGGGGGGGTTAATGAGTATGGCGGCAGGTCCAAACCTCTCTACCCCACCACCGGCATTCCTCAGGTGGTCCCACCTGGTCAAGTTTCCTTAAGGGGACCTCTGGGGGCGGTGAAGGTTCGTATCCCACGGAGGAGGAGGAGGAGCGACGGCTTTGGAGCATGTTAAACCTTGCGTTGATTTCAAGGGTCAAAGTCCCCGCGGCCCGGTCTCTGGCCAGGCCTTCACGTGGTCGGGCCTCGCTCATAACTCAATCATATTTCATATTTCTAAGCCAATTATTTTTATGTTTACCTCTGTCTCTTTTACTTCTCCCCTCCCCCCACCAACTGCACCGTCCGCCACCACTTACACCACCACCTCACCACCCCACATACACCCCCCCACCAACACCACCCCACATACACCCCCCCCAACACCACTCCACATATACACCCCCACCAACACCACCCCACATACACCCCCCCACCAACACCACCCCACATACACCCCCCCCACCAACACCACCCCACATACACACCCCCACCAACACCACCCCACATACACACCCCACCAACATCACCCCACATACACACCCCCACCAACATCACCCCACATACACACCCACACCAACACCACCCCACATACACACCCCCACCAACACCACATACACACCCCCACCAACACCACATACACCCCCCCACCAACACCACATACACCCCCCCACCAACACCACCCCACATACACCCCCCACCAACACCACCCTATATACACCCCCCCCATAAACACCACCCCACATACACACCCCCCACCAACACCCCACATACACACCCCCCACCAACACCCCACATACACACCCCCCACCAACACCCCACATACACACCCCCACCAACACCACCCCCCCCACCAACACCACCCCACATACACCCCCCCACCAACACCACCCCACATACACACCCCCCACCACCACCCCACATACTCACCCCCACCAACACCACCCCACATACACACCCCCACCAACACCACCCCACATACACCCACCAACACCTCCCCACATACACACCCCCACCAACACCACCCCACATACACACCCCACCAACACCACCCCACATACACCCCCCCACCAACACCTCCCCACATACACCCCCCCACCAATACCCCCCCCACCAACACCACCCCACATACACACCCCCACCATCACCACCCCATATACACCCCTCCACCAACACCACCCCACATACACCCCCCCCAACCAACACCATCCCACATATACACCCCCACCAACACCACCCCACATACACACCCCCACCAACACCACCCCACATAAACCCCCCACCAACATCACCCCACATACACACCCCCACCAACATCACCCCACATACACACCCCCACCAACATCACCCCACATACACCCCCCCACCAACACCACCCCACCAACACCACCCCACATACACACCCCCACCAACACCACCCCACATATACACCCCCACCCCACATACACCCCCCCAACAACACCACCCCACATACACACCCTCACCAACACCACCCCATATACACCCCCCACCAACACCACCCCACATACACCCCCCCCCACCAACACCACCCACATACACCCCCCCAACCAACACCACCCCACATACACCCCCCCAACCAACACCACCCCACATACCCCCACCAACACCACCCCACATACACACCCCCACCAACACCACATACACCCCCCCACCAACACCACCCCACATACACACCCCCACCAACACCACCCCACATACACCCCCCACCACACCACCCCACATACACCCCCCCACCAACACCACCCCACATACACACCCTCACCAACACCACCCCACATATACACCCCCACCAACACCACCCCCACATACACCCCCCCACCAACACCACCCCACATACACCCCCCCACCAAACCACCCCACATACACCCCCCCAACCAACACCACCCCACATACACCCCCCCAACCAACACCACCCCACATACACACCCCCACCAACACCACCTCACATAAACCCCCCACCAACATCACCCCACATACACACCCCCACCACATCACCCCACATACAACCCCCCACCAACACCACCCCACATACACACCCCCACCAACACCACATACACACCCCCACCAAGACCACCCCACATACACACCCCCACCAACACCACCCCACATACACACCCCCACCAACACCACCCCCACATACACACCCCCACCAACACCACCCCCACATACACACCCTCACCAACACCACATACACACCCCCACCAACATCACCCCACATACACACCCCCACCAACATCACCCCACATACATACCCCCACCAACACCACCCCACATACACTCCCCACCAACATCACCCCACATACACACCCCCACCAACACCACCCCACATACGCTCCCCACCAACATCACCCCACATACACACCCCCACCAACACCACCCCACATACACACCCCCACCAACACCACCCCACATACACACCCCCACCAACACCACATACACACCCCCACCACACCACCCCACATACACACCCCCACCAACACCACCCCACATACACACCCCCACCAGCACCACCCCACATACACCCCCCACCAACATCACCCCACCATACACACCCCCACCAACACCACCCCACATACACCCCCCACCAACATCACCCCACATACACACCCCCACCAACACCACCCCACATACACACCCCCACCAACACCACATACACACCCCCACCAACACCACTTCACATACACACCCCCACCAACACCACATAAACACCCCCACCAACACCATCCCACATACACACCCCCACCAACACCACCCCACATACACACCCCCACCAACACCACCCCACATACACACCCCCACCAACACCCCACATACACACCCCCCACCAACACCCCACATAAACACCCCCACCAACACCACATACACACCCCCACCAACACCACCCCCACATACACACCCCCACCAACACCACCCCACATACACACCCCACAGACACACCCCCACCAACACTACATACACACCCCCACCAACACCACCCACATACACACCCCCACCAACACCACCCCACATACACACCCCCACCAACACCACCCCACATACACACCCCACATACACACCCCCACCAACACTACATACACACCCCCACCAACACCACCCCACATACCACACCCCCACCAACACCACCCCACATACACACCCCCACCATCACCACCCCACATACACACCCCCACCAACACCACCCCACATACACACCCCCACCAACACCACCCCACATACACACCCCCACCAACACCACCCCACATACACACCCCACATACACACCCCCACCAACACTACATACACACCCCCACCAACACCACCCCACATACACACCCCCACCAACACCACCCCACATACACACCCCCACCAACACCACCCCACATACACACCCCACATACACACCCCCACCAACACTACATACACACCCCCACCAACACCACCCCACATACACACCCCCACCAACACCACCCCACATACACACCCCCACCAACATCACCCCACATACACACCCCCACCAACACCACATACACACCCCCACCAACACCCCACATACACACCCCCACCACACCACCACCACATACACACCCCCACCAACACCAACATTACATACACACCCCCACCATCACCCCACATACACACCCCCACCAACACCACCCCACATACACACCCCCACCATCACCACCACCACATACACACCCCCACCAACACCACATACACACCCCCACCAACACCACCCCACATACACACCCCCACCAACACCCCACATACACACCCCCACCAACACCAACACCCCACATACACACCCCCACCAACACCACACCACATACACACCCCCACCACATACACACCCCCACCACCACCACCACATACACACCCCCACCAACACCACCACCACATACACACCCCCACCAACACCACATACACACCCCCACCAACACCAACACCACATTCACACCCCCACCAACACCACATACACACCCCCACCAACACTACATACACACCCCCACCAACACCACATACACACCCCCACCAACACCACCCCACATACACACCCCCACCAATACCACATACACACCCCCACCACCCCACATACACACCCCCACCAACACCACCCCACATACACACCCCCACCAACACCACATACACACCCCCACCAACACCACCCCACATACACACCCCCACCAACACCACATACACACCCCCACCAACACCACATACACACCCCACCAACACCACATACACACCCCCACCAACACCACATACACACCCCCACCAACACCACATACACACCCCCACCAACACCACCCCACATACACACCCCCACCACACCACATACACACCCCCACCAACACCACATACACACCCCCACCAACACCACATACACACCCCCACCAACACCACATACACACCCCCACCAACACCACCCCACATACACACCCCCACCAACACCACATACACACCCCCACCAACACCACATACACACCCCCACCAACACCACCCCGCCAATTGGTGTCAACAAGGCAGACAGCCTCATATCACGCCACGCTGTATTCAACATTTCTAGTCTCTACTGTATTTACACCCCCCCCCCTCAATCCTCCTCCCTGTCCTGGTCCCTACTGCCCCTCCACCTTTCCCTCTCCCTCCCTATCTCTCCCTCTCTCTCCCTCCCTCCCACTACTCTCAACCCCCTGCCTCTCCACCTCTCTCACCTAATTGCTGCCTACTTCATGTTGGTGAGTGCCGCTGTGCAACACTCCGGCACTGTTGCAACGCCTGCTGTCACTACCGGTGAGCAACGCTGCTTGTCGGTGACCTTGGCAAGCAGCGCCTGGGAACACTAGCTGTCTGCGCCTGACGGAGCGATCACTGTCAACCGTTCTGCTCTTCCTGGCGTCTTATGACCCGTCATGGGAGTCTCGCGCTTAGCTTAGTGTTACGGTGTATTGTTGGAATGTTGACACCAGCCGTGTCAACAGCTGCAGTCATGACACCAGTCGTGTCAACAGCTGCAGTCATGACACCAGCCGTGTCAACAGCTGCAGTCATGACACCAGCCGTGTCAACAGCTGCAGTCATGACACCAGCCGTGTCAACAGCTGCAGTCAT